AGACCAGAAAAATAATGACAATGAATCATGCCCTTCATCCACGCAGTGACATTGATATACTCTATCTACCAAGGCAAATAGATGGGCGTGGAATGCTACAAGTGCATCAGATGGTTGAAGAAGAAAAAATGGCTTTGGAAGAATATCTGAAGGACAATGATGAAGATGCACTGAAATTAGTATATCAGGAAGGCTTACTGACTACTGGAGAGACCAAACTGGCCTACAAGAAAGACCAAATGAAGAACAGAATAGAGGCATGGGAAGACAAAGCACTACATGGCCAATACATTAAAAAAAAATAGCTGGGAAACCAGATAATAACAAGACCTGGCAAAGGCTAAGAGCAGGAAAATTGAAGAAAGAGACCGAGGGACTAATTCTGGCTGTACAAGACAAAGTCTTAAGGACCAATGCATACAAAGTCAAAATTGTATGCATTGTACATTGTAAATGCCGCCTATGCAAAGAAGCTGAAGAAACAGTGGACCACCTGGTAAGCTGTTGCAAGAAGATCACACAGACTGACTGCAAGCAGCGGCATGACAAAGTAGCAACAATGGTGCATTGGAGGATCTGCAAGAAATATCATTTGCCTGTAAGCAAGAACTGGTGAGATCACAAAATAGAGAAAGTAATAGAAAATGATAAAATTAAACTGCTCTGGGACTTCAGAATTCAAACAGACAAGTACCTGCAACATAACATCCCGGACTTAACAATTGTCGATAAGAAAGACAAAAAAGTCTGGATAGTGGATGTGGTAGTGCCTGGAGACTCTTCTGTCTCCAGGCACTATCACATCCACTATCCAGACTTTTTTGTCTTTCTTATTGACAATTGTTATGTCTCATCTATTCTTCTATAGATGAGAAAGAACTGGAGAAGATAACAAAATACAAAGATCTACAAATAGAAATAGAAAGGCTGTGGCAAAGGCAAGCAAGGGTAGTACCAATAGTAATAGGCGCCTTGGGTGCAATCCCAAAACAACTGGAGCACCACTTGAACACCATTGGCATTGACAAATTCGCCATTAGTCAATTGCAAAAGGCAGCCTTACTAGGAACTGCTTCCATCCTGCAACGATATCTGTAATACCATCAAACATCCACATCTGCCTATCCCAGGTCTTTGGTAAGGACTTGATACTTAGACAAAAATGCCAAATCCAGTCTGAACATCTGGCTGACTGTGCAATGATTAATAATAATAATAATAATAATAATAATAATAATAATAATAATAATAATAATAATAATAATAATAGAGTTGGAAGGGACCTTGGAGGTCATCTATTCCAACCCCATGCTCAGGCAAGAAACCCTATACCGTTTCAGGCAAATGGCTGTCCAGTCTCTTCTTAAAGAGTTCCAGTGTTGAAGCATTCACAGCTTCTGGAGGCAGGTTGTTCCACTGATTAATTGTCCTAACTGTCAGAAAATTTCTCCTTAGTTCTAGGTTGCTTCTCTCTTTGGTTAGTTTCCATCCATTGCCTTGTGTCCTGCCTTCAGGTGCTTTGGAGAATAGCTTGATTCCCTCTTCTTTGTGGCATCCCCTGAGATATTGGAACACTGCTATCATGTCATCCCTCGTCCTTCTCTTCATTAGACTAGACATTCCCAATTCCAGCAACCATTCCTTATATGTTTTAGCCTCCAGTCCCCTGACCATTTTTGTTGCTCTTCTCTGTACTCTTTCTAGAGTCTCAAATCTCATCTCAGGAATTGAAATCATGAGCCATTATATGTTACATGAGTATTACAATGTTATTAATTTTAGGAAATATCCAGATCCTGGCACTTAGCATTGCTGCAAGAAGGGATATATAGACCCTGCCAGAAACACACACACACAATCTATATTTTTGAAGCTCTAAGAGTTGAAACATACAAATGTTATATTACATTATGTCTCCATGTATATGAATGTTATCTGGGTTATCTGGTCCTGGCATTTGGACTTGGCATGTGGAGAAGTGGTTTGATTTGCTCAGGGTTTTTAAATGTGCCCAGTTTCTTCCCTTGACTTTTTATAACACAAAAGCTGTGTTAACACAGAAACACAGTGAAGCTGGGGTTACTGAATTAAATCAACTAAATCTGCATGATTTGTTCACAAGCCATTATTATTAAATGTTCTAGTTTAGTTTTGTTCATGATCTTAGCCATTGTGTATAGTAACCAACGAAAAAAAGGATTATCTTTACACAGGACACCATGCCATTTTGCAGAGCAAAAAAGAATCTAAACAAAGTTAACAATAAAGCGATTACCATTTTGTGCAAATGTAATTGCTACATCTTTAACTGACCTTGTTAAGCATGTTGTGTGACCTTGACCACAGATTATGTGTGTGTGCATGCAGGCACACAATAACATAAAATACAATTACAACCAACATGGATGCAACTTTGTATATCATTTCAACAGTTTTTTTCAGGAGTTATTTTCAATTTCTATTCATTAGATTAGATTAGAATCTATAATAAAACGAGTAGAATATATGCCAGTTTACAACATGTAGCTGAAAGTGGTTGATCTCAGAACAGCTAAGCAAGATCACACTTAGTTAATACTTGGATGGGATGGGTTGTAGGGTAGGCAAAAAAAAACAACTTCCTGGAAAAAGGCAGCGGCAAATCACTTGTGTATAGTTGTCCATGAAACCATCAGTAACTGGGCTCAATCCGAGGGAGATTGTGCACTATTATATTTAACAGTCTATGAAACGGAAATTGCTTGTTTGAATAGGTCCCAATTTGGGCTCTGGGGGAGATAGCTTTTTTCACAATAAAAATAATGCTGGAAGAACAAGGCTAAATCATTTTTTCCTTTCTTTATAATCTAACCACAGCTTGAAGAAAGCTACATTATAGGAACATATGCTATGCAAATTGTATGTTTAAATAAACAGGCTGCAAATGTTTGTTACAAATTAATAAAGAAAATCAGATCTTCAAAATATATACAATCTCATTTTATGGCATTCTAGGATGTGAAATTCATAAAAAACCAGCAAGAAACAGGAATAAGACCAAGCAGTCTGTGCAGAAAACACAGAGAACATGGAACATAGGACAGCCTCTAATTTCAATACAGGCTGAGAAAATCCCCTATCTGAAATCTTAGAAACTCTTGCAGTTCAATGAAGTCAATATTGAACTGGAAAGAACAAAAAGAAATTGCAGGGTGGGATCTCTGATGTATTCAGAATAAAATCAGCATTCTTCCTCAAGCCCTTGATTGAAAAAATAAATGAACAGGTGATATAAATCAGAATTTCATATGAAGACTCAAGCCATTTGCAGATCCCAAAAATTTGCTGCTAGGATCCATTGAAATAGAATTTAATTATCAGGGTAATTATGTCTATCTACCAATAATATTATTTCTTCCATCTGAGAAGATCAGGATATAAGGTAAGACTATCCTATTTTATTGTCATAGCTATCCACTGGTAACAAGTTAGTGATTGGGTATCCATGCCTATGGTTTATAGAAGAAATAAGAGTAGACTGAATTTGATAAATACCCAAAGCCAAAACCAAACAAACCACATTATAATGGAAAAACATATGAACCCAATGCACTTAAGTCACCAACTGAGACCTCCTTTATCCAACCCAGCCTTATACGGAAGACTCTCTGCACATATCAACTATAGAGTGTTTTCTTTGATGGAGATACTGGGCTTTAAGTCTCTTTTGGGTTTTATTGTCCTGAAATGTCACATATGTGTCTCTAAGTCAGAGATGTCAAGCCAAAATTAAAATTTTCACTTTTAAGCTGACCTTTCCAACAAATGTATTGCTAACTATGCTTCTTTTTACTAGAAAATGTCAGAGCTTTCAATTTCTATGATTTGCCAGCTGGATTTCTGTTTAAAGTTTTCTTTTAGGAAGGGTTGCAATAATATACTTTAATTACTGTGTATAAAATATCCCTCTTGGAAGAGAAAAAGAAATGGTGGGCTATTAAGTTACCCACTGGCACTGACACAGTAGTTATAGCGTCTGAACCAATTCTTGACAAGTGCTATTGCTAAAATACACAAACACACAATGGTGGAAGAGCAAGCTGCTTAGAAAAATTACAGAAACCTGTGCTGCCTTCCTCCCCTCCTAAGGCTCTGTATAGCCTCAGCAGGGCAGCATTGCCAATAAAGCTGTAAAACTGGAAAAAAAACAGGTGTGGGAGTTGTGTTTTGGAAGCTCTGCCACCATATTTTCCCAACTCTTAGTGTTTTAACCATTTATGGTATTGAACTCTTGGCAACTCTATACTACCTTGTCAAACACCAGGTCTTTCAATTGTTGGATGTTCAACTTGTATGTATTTGCACTTGTAACACTTATAGGGAAATATAAAAATCTACTGTCCAAAGTTCAGTGTTTTTGTAGTTCTTTTGAGTCTGGGCCAATCTAACTGGGTACAATTTTAAAACAAAACCTGTGATGTCCTGATCTACCATTTTTTTGGATAGAACAGAATTCCCATTTGCTACCCATTTATCATTTAGTATCCAAATAATAATTCAGTTCACACATAAATCCATGGATTGTGAATAAGCATTATGAGCTTGGTTCACCTATCACATAGTGTCAAAAATGTGCAGATTGTATATATTTGATTGTATGTGAGCCAGGTGAAGTCTTGCCAGTTGAGATTCTACATATCACTGTAAAATCGATAAGAACCTGTGTCATAATGAAAATCCATTGGTTGGTTGTTTTTGATTATATGATTTTCTGCAGATACTGAATGCCTTGTTGTGTTCTAAAACAAACACAACAGTAAATCTGAATCCTTTGATATAGTTTTGTTTCTGTGTGTGGGGTTTGTGGGGTGTGTGTGTGTGTATCCAGATTCAGATCCAGAACTCCTGGTTTCCTTTCAGATCTGTGAGACTGATTTCTGCTATTTCACAAAAGTTGCTACAAAGAAAATTTATAGAAAGCATAGTACTAATCCTGTTCTTTTTTATTTTATTTTTGAAAGCAGTGGCTATGACTTTGACTATGATTACTACAGAGATGACTTCTATGACAGGTGAGCAAATAAGAGAAAAACTGGGCTGTCACATTGATTGTCTTTTATTTTAAATACAGTGAACATAGGGGAATACTTTCATAATGTTTGGGCAAAGCAAGTTTGGATTATTTATATTTTCTACCCCACTACAGTTTTATCTGAATGGCTGCTTCACTTTTTCAAATATATTGCTTTAACTCTATGGATGTAAAGATTTCTTTAAATGACCAAAAATTGGATACAGGTAGTCATTGACCTACAATCAGTCGCTGACATTTGAAGTTACAACATGCCTTCCTGGGAATACTTAATGACCTGATTCCAAAGTTCTGACAACTGGAGCAGCCCCCACAGTCACATGACTGCATGTTGGCTGCTTGGCAACCAGCCCACATTTATAGCCATTTGCAGCATCCCATAGTCACATGACTGTATTTTATGACTTCCGGTTTTCAGCAAAACTGTTCTATAGCCAGTTTGGTCTAGTGACTAGAAGGCAGGCCAGGGATTGTTATTGTAGGGAAAATAGGAGGAGGAAAGTATGTTGGATATATTCTCCACTTTGACTTATTTGTAAAAATAATAAAGGTGAGATGCAAATAAAAATAGCAAACTATTGGTTCGCTTAATGTCATGGTGATCGTTTGACAACTGCTGCAAGAAAAGTATAAAATTGGGTCAATAATGTGGGTGACCCAATTTACAACCCTCCAGGCTTACAACCATGATCAGCAGGCTATATTACAGTTGTAAGCTGAAGACTACCTGTAATTGGTCAAAGCTAAAAGTGAAAATATAAACTTCAAAACCTACATTTTTAAAATAAAGCTTTAAACCACTGTGTGCAGAAGTAAGTTCCAGTGAGTTTAATACAGTTTACTTACAATCCCATTACAGGATACCCTTGATCTTGTTAATTAATTTATGGTTCTGATATGTTAACATACTAATTGCAATATGCAAATGTATACACTTTTGTCAAAATAAAATTAAGTTATATAATATAAAAATGTAACTGTTAGAGAAAGTTAAATGAATAGAATAGAATAGAATAGAATAGAATAGAATAGAATAGAATAGAATAGAATAGAATAGAATAGAATAGAATAGAATAGACTCATGGAGATCTTCTAGTCCAGGCCCCCGCTCAAGCAGGAGAACCTATACCATTTCAGATAAGTGACTGTCTAGTCCAGAAGTCCTCAACCTTTTGGGCACCAGGGACCGGTTCCGTGGAGAAAAATTTTTCTGTGGACTGGAGAGAGCATGGTTTTGTGTGCTGCCTGCATCCCAAGGATGGGGCTTTGCTGGTTTCTGTGGACTGGTTGCTGACATGCCACAGATTGGTACTGGTCCATAGACCAGGAGTTGGGGACCCCTGGTCTAGTCTCTTCTTAAAAACCTCCAGTGATGGAGCACCCACGATTTAATTTAATTCAATTCACTTCCATGTTGCTTCTCTTTGATTAATTTCCAACCATTGTTTCTTGTCCTGCCCTCTGGTGCCTTGGAGAATAATTTGACCCTCTCTTCTTTATGGCAGCCCCTCAAATACTGGAATACTGCTATCATGTCACCCCTATTTCTTCTTTTCTTTAAACTACCCAAACCCAAAACCTGCAGCTGTTCTTCATATGTTTTAGTCTCCAGGCCTTTGATCATCTTAGTTGTTCTTGTTTGAACTTTTTCCAAGGACTCAACATCATTTTTGTGGTATGGTGACCAAAATTGATTGCAGTATTCCAGGTGTGGTCTTACTAGGGTTTTATAAAATGTGGTAAGGTTTTCATGGTAAGGATTCCATTCCTCTAATAAATTCCCAGACAGATGTTCCAGATGTGTTCTTATTCAAAGATGGAAATTAAATTATCAAAACACATGCCTTGAATTTCTGTACTTTGTAGAGCTGTGGTATTAAATAAATATTTTACACTTTTTCTGTTAAGGAGATTGTTCATCAGCAGTGCTAACATTCTATGGATGTCCATGAGGAATCCTTGACTTCATTTACTTTCCACTGATTGTTTGCATTTCTCTGCTCCGTAAGAAATGCTGCAGGAGTGCTCCTTCACTACGCTATCTGCCAGAGGACGTCATGATTGAGATTATTGGAGTGGCAAAACCCCAGAAGGGTTACCCAAAAAATCTTTTTGCTGTCATGAAGGGGATGTCCATCTTTTTGCAGCCCAGATATAGCAGTCTTGTCATTTTACCACTCAATAGCCCCATTCTAAAAGCACCACACATGCTCAGTGTCCATTGGGTTCTCCTGCATCGCCCTTTGCAAGCAGCAGTACAAACAGTTCTCTTGTCTAGAGAATTGAGTTCAGCTGAATAAACCCAGTGGCTGTCTTGTTTCTTCCTTTCCGTTTCTAAGAAAAATCAAATGTCTGAATGTTTGTACAATACAGTTTGTCTCCAAAAGATTAACATTTGTTTTTTTCAAAAATCAGAAAATAGAAGGGCCTAGTTGGCAGCAGTAAAACAGGGTTTTAGCAGCCATGAAGTACATAAAAAAAAAATATTTTAACTTTTAAAAATGCAACTATGCAGGGGGTTTTTTTTACATGAACAAAAAGCAAACTTTTGAACTAATAGTAGATAAAGCATAGAGGTGGAACTACAAAATTCCCCTGAGGTTACTAAATCAATCTCTGTTGAATCTGAGAAGTGCACTTGGTGCATTTAAAGTTCAGCTTCAAAGTCCAGATCTATATGTTTTTATTACAGTCTGCTTTCAGGTGTTTGCTCTCTACCAAAGTGAGACATGTTTTTCAATAGGTCTTTCACTTCTCTTCCTCTCAACCTGTTTAGTTCTGTTAAAAGACCTTGGTAATTAGGGCTGAAAAAGATTCAGATGCAACAGGTTAAAGAAATTGTTTTTTTTTTCTTGCCTGAATGTAATTTAGTATAAATATTATTGGCTGCATCTTAGGAAAAAGTTTTGTGTCCTGTTTTAAGGAATGAGTAGGTTCCAAATGAGGGGGGAAAGATACTAAGATAGGACAGCAAAATAATTGCCTTGGATGATCTGTTCTAATATCCTGGAGATTTGCCTAAGGATTTCTCAAATATGAAACATTGAAGTATTTTTAAAAATGAATTAATGGTAACAATCTTGCTGTTAAAGCAACCTATTAAATAACTTCTCTGAGAGTTGTCAGCATTAACTTGCAGGATAATGGTTGAACAATGTGTCTCCTCAGTAGTTTAATGATCAGCTGTAATCTCTAATGGGTTTTAATGCCCAGGCAAGAACAGATGGCTGGAATGGATGAAGTTTTAGCTCCCTCTAGAGGACATCAATGGTTTTCATCTCTTGATCAGAAATATTTGCTAATGTATCTGACTGGAGTCGCTACAGGAAAGCATTTCTTCTGCTTCTGTGTAGACTCTTTGAGTATCGTGGAAGAGTCTCTCCCATACCCAGGATGGTTCCCGTGAAGCGGCCACGAGTCACCATCCCTTTAGTACGACGTGTCAAAGCAGCTATCCCGGTCAAGCTCTTTGCCAGATCTGCTGCTCTTGTGAATAGTTCTGCCAAATTAAAATGTAAGTTTCATGCTACTGTGCAGAAGTAATGTTTACAACTATTTCAGACGTGCCTTTGGAACAAAAGGCATAAGGGCAGACATACTAATAAGTATTTTATGTATTACAAAACATTGCTTTTATTTTATTCTTGAATTTATTACAGTAGATGCTTCTTATATGCAGGTAGACCATTTGAAGTTATGATGGATCTTTCTGGGGCTACATATGACCCAGTTTCAAAGTTCTGACATTCACAGACACCCCTCCAGTCACTGAACTTTGGGCACTCAACAAGGATGTATTTATGAATGTTGGCAGCATTCCACCATTACATGACCATGTTTTATGAACAGTTTTGCCAAAACCCCTATTTACTTCCATTTTTCAGCAAAACTGCACTTGTTGTGAACCATTGGTTCACTTAATGACCTCAGCAGCTCCTTTATAAGCACTGCATTCACTTGACAACCACTGCCAAAAAGGTTGTGAAATTGGGTCAGTCACATTACTGACCTGTTTTACAACCATCATGAGTTACAACCATAATGGGGTATCTCTATTATGGTCATAAGTCAAGGATTACCTTGACTTAGGCTGCTTACAATATTTTTTTATTTATTAAATTTATTGGCTGCCCACCTTACCACAGGGTAACAATAAAACAAAAACTTGAGAGTAAAGCAATACAATTAAAATCAGAATTAATAATGATATCATTAAATCAATTATTACTTCAAAGCTTGGTGAAAAATGCATTGTTGCCATTTCCCTAAATATTAGGAAGGTGCAGGCAAACACATCTCCCTGGAGAGAGTGTTCCACCATCAGGGAACCACAGAAAAGAAGGTCCCCTCCTGTGAACCAGATAGCTAAGTTTCTGGAGTGTGGGCATGTAATGAGCTATAAGTATAAACTTGACAAAGAGGAGGAACAGCCATAGTGAAGGCAATGTCAGATAAGATAAAATCTAAGTCTAAAGCAGGAACGGAATTTGAGAAAATATCTGACTTGATTTTCCCATTTGGTCAAAGTAGGAAGTGGGGAGGCACATTCAGTGTTGCAAGAGTCTGTTTCTGTAATCCTATAATAAAAGTAGTTTTAGTATTTATGACTAGGGTGTTCAAGTCTGGTCTACCTCAAAGGGCTGCCATCAATCAATTAATGCTCTCTTTCTAGAGAGGCAGAATATCCTGCTTTGGACTTGGCTTTCTCTTTTATGTGATTGTTGCCTGGGTTGTGGCACTTCCTGCTGTTCCTCAAGGTTATTCTCAAAGTACTGCCTCACCTGCTGCCTTATCTAACTTGGTAGGTTCATAGCAGGAGAAGCAGTATTTTTATTAGACCCGCAGAGGCAAAAGTGCCCACTTATGCTAGTGTTTTTCAACTTTGACAATTTTGAGAAATGTGGACTTCAACTTCCCTAGTCAGCATGTTGGCTAGGGAATTCTGGGAGTTAAAGTCCCATACATCTTAAAGTTGCCAAGGTTGAGAAACATTGATTTAAAACAGTGGTTCTCAACCTGTGGGTCGGGACCCCATTTGGGGTCGAACGACCATTTCACGGGGGTCGCCAAACAACGCAGTCCGCCATTTTTTTCCCCCTTTCCTTAGCTGTGCTACTCCCTTTTATTCTATTGGCTTTTGAAAGCCAATAGAATAGACTCTCTTGAATAGAGTCTACTTCTATTGGCTTTCAAAAGCCAATAGGAATTGTCCAGGCTGTCTCTGCCCTGCTGAGCCCACCAAAAGTCCCATTTTGCAAACAGTGCTGCATCAGTTGAGTAGTCCTCGACTTACGACCGGTTGGGGGTCGCGGCATTAAAAAGGTTGAGAACCACTGATTTAAAACATTACCAAAATTGAGCAATGTTCCTGGGAGTCAGATTGTAAGTAGTGGTAGGGTTAGGTTGATTAACTTTCTGATTGTCCAGTAACATGACTAAAATATTTTTAGTGCCATCTTCCAGAGAAAGATCCAATCGAAATGGATCCAAATAGTAAGTTTCATCCAAAGGCATCTGAAGCTGTGAGGACACCTCTTTCTTAATCACCTTGCCGAAGAATTGAACATTTGAGAGTGACTCATAATTAAGAGACCTTCCAGGGCAAGGAAAGGGGTTTTTTTAGTAAAGATCTTAGAACTGTTTCTTTAAGCAGGTTGGAATATATTTCATACTCAAGGAGGTATATATTATCTCTCCTAATCATGGAATCAGTGACAACCTGGTTATTTGATCAGGATGGGCAAGGGTAGAACAAGCCGATAATGATCTCTCAAAGCCTGGGTCCACATTTTTGAGACCTGTGAACTAAAAACAATCCATATAAAGAGGAGAATGATTGCTTTTTATTTATTAATATCATACTTTTCTGCTCTCAAAGGAATAGTTGTAAGAATACACGAAAAATATATTATAGACAATGATAATAACAAATAAATGGAGCATTAATATAAGCACATACATCAAGCCAAGTATTTAAGTGAAAGATGAAATATTTGAAACACACAATAGAGTGAGCCAGCTAGGTCTCCGTAGCACGACAGTTCAGATAATGTTCTGTCAGTGCTTTTTACCACAAAAACCGGTTGCCAATGAGATACAATTGTTTGGTAACTACAGCTAGAAACATCTAAATGCAAACTGTCACTGAGAAAAACAAAAGATTAAATGGCTGCCAGAAGGAATACATGCCCTTGGCTGAGCTTTTTACAAAAAAAAAAAAAAAATAGGTGATGTTCAAATTATCATTTCTGTTCTAATATTGAACTAATTTTTCAGCTAATGAAGAATTTGAACTCTACTGCATCATTCATGCCCAAGATTTTTTGGAAATGAAAATAGGAAAATACTGCTTTCCTCTTTTCTTAAGAAAGTAAAATATTCCAGTGAAAAGAGTATGCTCAGCTTTGCTAACATGGAAGACTGAGTGAAAATTATAGGAAATTGAAGTCTGGGAAGTAAATATCAGACTGGATGGAATCTGAGGAAGTCATTCACCTTACAGCAAGAGCTAACTTATGCAGACATTTGCACAAATAGCTGATCTGGATACAAGAAGAAGGTATCAGTGGGATTGGGAAATACAGTTTTGCAAAAACAAGGAACATGTTGGTGAAAAAGAATCCAAGAGGGCAAAAAGGGAGGGAGTGGAATTTAAGACAGTCTGCATCTGCTCAACAGCTCAGAATCAACTTGACAGGATGGCACAAAAATAAGGAAATAATGTAATGGAAAATCCTAAATAAAGGAGTGGGTACATTGGCCCCGATGTGATGCATATATTTGTGGTGAATCTGTAAGCATCATTTCAACAGCTTCTAAGTTGCTGTGCAAATTATAAATTAAGGGGGAATTCTTTGTAAAAAGTTCAAGGAATGAGGTAAAAGATTCCTCTTTTGTTTTTTATTGACTCAGAGTTGCAAATTTTGTACATCACCAAAGTTGGGAGGTCGTTTTAAGCATTAATAAATGAACTCTTTGATACCTACAATATCACCATCTTGCCAGAGTCAATATAGCACAGGGCTTCCATATCCTTAAGTAGCTGTGCACTAGCATTTAGGTTTTGATAGTTTATCCCATTGATGGTGCACTCTGATGGGAGAAATGGTACTTGCCAAAATTCTCCTGTCTTCTCCTCAGCTATGAAAGGCAAACGAGACCCTGTCCTATACTGAACCCAATAAGCCCTTATTGTGACGGACGCCAAGCAGGACCTGCAACTAAAAGGTATATGTGAAGTATAATTAAATCTCTGCTCAAGCAAATTGCTCATTCATACCATACAAAAGAATAAGGCTTTCCTCTAACTTTTGTCTTCCAAGTGAAATGCAGTGAACTGCAGACAATTAAAACTGAGCTGACACAGATCAAATCCAACATTGATGCTCTCTTGGGCAGATTGGAGCAGATTGCTGAACAACAGAAAGCACCTACAGGTCAGTTGGCTGATTGCAAATGACCCTCAATATCACACCAAGACACAATAGGAGTTCAAATGAAGAAAGTCAGTGCCAGCTTCCTAGTCCCCTGACCTTCCTTGTTCAGGACAAAGGACCTTTGGTACTTTTTGCAATTACAGTACAGCTCCATGATGCCCTGGTTCCATTCTTAGGAGCTAGTACAGTTTTTTTTTGGGGGGGGGGGTTCATCCTCAACTACAGCACCCATCACCTCCAGCCAGCAAGGGCCAAAGTGGATAATGACTTATGGAATTGTAATCCAATCTGTCTGTAGGCACCATGTTGGGTAAAACTGCACCAATGTTATTAAATATAAGTGACTGTTACTCGGCAATCTAAAGTATGGACATATTTCAGTGGCATCTATATTATAAAGATCGTAATAGCAGAACAAGACCAAATAGCCCCTGGAAACCTGTGATTTCAAAAAACTATCAGGCTTCCCATCTGAATATAAAAGTATTCTGAGGCTCCCCTGCTGATTTTTTGTCCTTGAGAATATATTTTCATTGGTTAGCTGTACTAGTAAAGGACCGCAGATATGGATAGGAATCTGTAGTTCAACAGATTACATGTCCAAAACATCTACCATTTCCCTATTTGTAGGCTGCAGTCCTCCAGAGATTAGATTCCAATTTCCATTAATCTTAGTAAAATGGATTGAAGGGAGCCACAATCTAGTTGCATCTGGAAGCCTAACAGGCTTTCCATCCTTGTTCTATTTCATACATCTAAATGACAGTAAGCCAACTTGATATTTTTTCTATCACTGCCTGTGCCCTGCTATATACAGTAGTAGATTTAAAAATGAAAAACAAAAGAAACATTCTAAGTCTTTCTCATTTTGTCATCTGGTCCAAACCCTCAAATTGATAATTTGTATTGCTTCCAAACCATGCCCAGTTTTTTTTTTTTAATGGACTGCATTCACCAAGGTTTTTTCAATTAACCCATTTTCTGGTTTTGCATAATGTGTTGAATCATAAACTAATCCAATGACCTAGATTCACAAAAAATATTAAGTCACAATGAAACTAATTTGATTTGTTAATGACTTCACTAACCAAGTCATGTAAACAAAGCCAAGAATTATTTGTGAGACTGATTTTCTCTAAGCCTGCACTCTGTGATATTAATCTCAGGTTATAATTTGCAATAAGCACCTATTAAATGATAAAACTGAAATAAATGAAGTAGTATTTCTCCTGGCAACCTTGCTCTGTCAGGACTCATTGCAGACATTTTTTCCAGAAGATATTCCGTTCATTTTTTTTCTTTCTGATAAGATGTACTTAGCATTTGAGTCCAGGCGCCATTTTAATTTTTCAGGATGCTCCAAATGTGGCAACATACAGGGACAGTTGGTGAAATTCAATTAGTTTCCTGCTTGGATTCTTAATTACTTAGCTATGCTGAGATAAGCCAAATAAAGCCTGCCAACAAAACAGGGTTCTCAAGCTACATAGATATTTTATCATTTGCCTTTTTTGCAGAAGTTAGAAAAAAGGCAGATGGAAACAAAAGTGAAATTTCTCAAGAAGACACAGCATCAGAAGCAGATGTGAATACGGAAGAGCCGTTAAATGGGGAAGAAGAAGAAGAGGAAGGCCTTGTGCAGGATGATTGTGATGATGAATTGGTAAGATGTAGCAGGAAATCATAGCTTTTGCACCCAATGATATATTTTGGGTTTACACAGTTATACCAGTTCTCAATCTTCAGGGGAAAGTAATATTTTCCCCATACCATTAATAGATAAAATTATCTCTTAACATTATAATGAATTGCAGCCAGGACACGTCCTTTCCTGTTCATTTAGGGAAAGTCCAATTTTGCAACTTATTTTGCCACAGTTGTTAACCAAATCACTACATCACACAATTGTTTTCAGCAAATCCGGCTTCCCACATTGACTTTGCTTGTCGGAAGCTGTCTGGGAAGATCACATGACCCCAATCATTGCAAATATATGCTGGTTGCCCAGTGCTCAAATTTTGATCACTTGACCATGGGGATGCTGTGATAGTCATAAGTGAAAGGACTGGTCATAAGTCGCTTATGACTTAGTGAGATTATAAGTACAAATGGTTGCTAAATGACTAGGACTACATGTAAATGAATGGACAACAGTAAAAAGAAGATGTAGAAAAAGGATCTCACAGATGTTGTCCAAGGTTCCTATAGCTCAAACTATAGACCAGTGGTGGCGAACCTATGGCACGGGTGCCAGAGGTGGCACTCAGAGCCCTCTCTGTGGGCACGTGTGCCATCGCCCCAGTCCTAGGCCTTCAGCTGGGTTTTATTTAAAAAAAATTGCTTTAGGTCTCCGCCGCCGTGTACAAAAAAAAAAGATTCAATCTATCAGTCAATTTCAACTTCTCGCGGGAAAAAAAAGATCTTGCAAAGTTGGAATTGATTGATTGAACTTTTTAGTCCCACCCAGTCTGCTGTTACCACCACACCCAATGGGCCACACCCACCCAGCACCCGACGATGCATAAGTGGGTTTTGGGTTGCAGTTTGGGCACTTGGTCTCTAAAAGGTTTGCCATCACTGCTATAGACCATCATTCTATTTTCCTACCTCTTATATTTTTTTGTTGTTTGAGAACATGAAGTTCTACTTGTACATTAAGATAATATTCCTCTTTTGTTTAAGTATATTTAAAGCATTAGAGTTGAAAGTGGATATTTAAGTGCCCTCCAACTAATATATTTTAATCAAATCCAAGCCATTTAATGTTACAAATATTTGGTCATGTATTTGGCATAGAAATACAAGATTTACAGTCCACATATTTTATCACATTAGTGAAATGGAACAGAATATACATTAGCCAAATGAACATAAATATAAATAAATAAAATAGTCATTATTCTTATCCCATCTTCTTAATTTTTTTAATAGCAGATAGACTACAAATGTTTAAATAAACAAATGCTTCGTTACCTAATTCAAATTGATGTAAAGATAAAGAAAGCATAGTCCCTAAATTGCCAAATAGATCAATATATCAAATAGATCAACATAAATTTAATAAACAGGCACAGTAATTATCTGGTTTTCTTATTAAAATAGAGAATTTCAATCCAAATTATGGTAATTATTCCTACCAATATTAGAAAAATTGTAGCCAGATTTTTATTTAGATAGAATAAATTAGCATATATAAACCAAAGAGTATGTAAATATATATCCTTTTTATACTTGGGGCGTTGATACATTTCCTGCTCTTTATTGATGCTTATGTGGTCAACCTAAGGGAGAAGATATAGGGAAACTCTTACAAATTCTTTATTTAAGAATAAGTCCCTTTTAGTTTAAAAGAACTTCACTTTTAAGCAAATATGTATAAATGTATACTTTTACGACTATTTTTCATAATCTTTCTTTCTTTCTCTTTCTTTTTTTCTTTCTTTCTTTCTTTTCTGCTTCTTCAGGAGAATAGCCATTTCACATATGTGGAAGACTCCAGCCTACAGTAATTAGGTATATTCTAAAACTTGCAGATTCTATTCACGACAGCAAAATCCCATTGAATTATGTAAAATAATACATATTTAAATTTTCATATTTTGATTTAAGACCACATGCTTATGTTTCACTTTCTTTCCTCCTTTTTGGAGAGGTTTCTTTCTTGATAAAACATTTATTACTTTATACCATGCTATTTAAAACTTTGTGGTGGTGGATGACAGACGGACTGCAGCGTACATCAGGTACCACAGGCATATAGAAAAGAGGGCAAAAAGAAACCTTGGCCTACAAGTGATTAACCAACCTGTTAATCTGTCTTTGTCTCTTGATAGCCATCAGCTACATAATCATATTTTGTCAACTTTCTCTGCTCATTGAAGCTATTAATGTTTGCACTTGACATTTCATACAAAAAAAGAGGAAATAATATATACGTTTGAAATAGTGAACCAATTATTTTCCTCCCACTCCTTCCTTCGCCTAGCATGTCACCACAACAACAAAAAGAGGGAGGATTACAAGAAGTTAAAACCTTTCTTGATATATCGAGCTGGACAAATGTTGACATTCAGGGCTGCCATTGGGTCTCTGCCTGGAATTCAAAAGGAGACACATGGACCAATATTTCCAAGCAATTTTGTAGAGCACAAGAAAGGATAGTCATACCAGTGGGCTATCATTAGTATTCCCACACATACACACACCCAAAATCATTATATTACACTGGGGGTCTTGTAACAAGCATCCACTACTGAAACAGATATTGTATCAAGAGAATAGAGCATTTCCATCTAGAAGTAGGAAAGGAAACAATCTGTATAAAGTCTGCTTTCTTGAGACAGGAGGTACCATGTGCAATGAGTACAATTCCACAATATACGATGTATGGTTTTGCATTTGAAATCCGGATCATGCCTTCTAAGCCAGGTTGTCTCGTAGTGGCCCATTTGCTTTTAAGCCTTAGTCCAGTGCAGTTTCCTGCATAGTTGCACTAGAAAATGCGCCCTTTAGTATCTGAGATATCACCTAGAAAGATGAAGGTGGTTGTTATCAGGCCTTTGTTCCCAGGAATAAAACAATTCTCCATCCAGTTTCCTAAGGATTAAGAAAGCAAATAATTATAAAAGAGAAAGGAATACTGGCTAAAGTTGGCACATAGAGCATAGTAGTATGCATATTTTGACCCAGGCATTTCATAAGAATTTTGAATAAAATAATTCACTTTATGGCCTAGCTATGCAGCCAATGAGGTTCCAAACATAATTTATACTTTTTCATACCAAAGGTTCACAGAAGCTAGTCCGAGGAGTTTCAACAAGGGCAATTGAAGAAATAGATAGTACAGTGTGTCCTGATTTCTTTTTACTTACAAGAAATCTAAGTGCAGAAGAAAAATATGTTTTCTTCCCTGTTGACCATTTTTCTAAAATACAACCAACTCATACTCAGAAACATGTTGTGTGATTTATTAAACTGAAACCTATTACAAAATTGTATTATCCTTCATTATCTTTTTTTTTTCCTTCAAGGTTCCCTTCTTTGTACAATATTGTAAGATGGTTTATTCGTAGTTGCCAACTTCAAAAATAGATGGAGCATTGTTTGCTTAGCAGGGTAATCCAGTCTTTCAGACTCCAACTACTTGTCAGGAAAGGGTGAGAATCACATTTTCATACAGGCCAAATTCAGAGGATTTTATCCTACCCTTCTAAGGATTTCTGCTGGAAGATATACAACCAGATATAATGATCTTCTCTTCTTCAGGACATATTAACAGAAGATTGCATCTCACAAAGCACAGTAATTTACAACAATTTCTTTGTTGAAAATACAAGTTACAAAACAGGCAAGCATTGTTTTTCTTTTTATTTTCTTTATCCTTTTGGCTCTTCTCTGTTAGCTTATCCTGCAAAGTTTGATCACTTTGGTGTCCCTAGCTATTTTCAAAATGCTTCCTAGACTTTGTTTTGCTATGAACAAACCGCAGGACTGAAAAATGAAAGAAATGGGGGGAGGGGGATTTGTACATAAAATACTGTATAATAAAAGGAAGAACTTGATTCATGATTTAAGCCCGTTGTTTTGTTTTGTTTTTTGCTGTTATTGCTATTTAAATAAGATACATTGCAAAATAATATATTGGATTCAAGCTACCTCTTCACACTACCAGTGCCTATTTTCTTTGAATATTTTGCTGACTGTGCTGCTCTCATTTAAGATATATTAAAAATGGTGTCCAGAGCAAACCAGAAGCGGACGCTGCCACAATAGGTGCTGAGATTTCCAGCTGTATTCTTTTCCTGGATACTACATTCCATTTTCTTCTTTCATCCTGCTATCAACATGAGACACTATCCCACATCCACTGAGCATATTCAATACTCAGAGCTGTTTTGGGATTCTCCTGCTTTGCTTTTCTACCAAATTTCAATTTTATCATATGCTGCTTTTCACATATAGTGAAATCTAAGTGACACCCAGAAGAAATGAATCATACTTTAGGTAGAAAAATGCTTGCATTTTGTCATTCCTTTTTCAAAAAGAAAATAATTTGATCATATTCCTTGTGAGATTGGTCTACTGCCCAAAAGGGGGGAGGTAAGAAAAGCTGACTTCTTTGCCACAAACCACATGACCAAGAGATATAGATTAAAATGGAGGAGGGAATGAAATAATTTGGAAAAGAAAATGACAAAGGCTCTGAGAGCCTCGACTCTCACACAGTTGATTTGGGGGGAAGACACTAAAATGAGATGTTCTTCTGGAGAATAACGTTGGCAGCAGTAACTATTAAGCCTTTATGCCACGGAGGCACAACTCAGAAATGTAGGCCCAGAATACTTCTGAAGCAGGAGGTGTGAGACCTCATCCTTTCATGCTACAAGTGCTACTGCAATCTCAAAATGTGATTTTGTTTTTCTATTTCAGCCATTTATTTGTTACGCTATTCCGTGTAACCCATATTCACTGAGGTTTCAGTGCTGACATTATCCTGTCGAATAGGTTGTGGAATCCAGAAGCCATTGTTCCCTCAATAGCTATGAGGTTCTTGTTCTTGAAGCTGTAAAACAGTTCCAAATCAGTTCCATGCTTCATAGTTGGGATGAGGGTTTTTTTAATTTGAATGAAGTTTCAGTTTTGCCACATTTTTTTCATTATTGACATAAAAAACTCCTTTTGTCTCCTCGGTCCACAGAACACTGTTCCATTAACTTGGTGTACCCTCCAAGTGGTTGTTGGCAGAAATGAGGTGGGTGGCAGTTTGCTTGCTGGAGAACACTATTCTTGATACACCCCCATGAACACCATTGTTCATTATTATAACTAATGTGCACTCGTATACAGACTTTAGATAACTAAGAACTGCCTACAAATCCTTTCCTAGAACCCTGATTCTTTACGATCTTCCCATCTGGAGTGATTTCTTTTGGACCACTCCTGGGAAAAGTAACTTATTTTTGAATTTGACTATCTTCCGATGGAATGAATTAGACAATAGTTTTGTAACTGACAGCCCAAGACCCCAACGCTGCACGATGGGGTGAGCTCCCATTCTTGCCCTAGTTCCTGCCAACCTAGCAGTTCAAAAGCATGCAAATGCAAGTAGATAAATAGGTATCACTTCAGCTGAAAATTACTGCATTCTCTATTTTCATGCTGGCCATGTGATGATGGAGGCGTCTCTCAAGACAATGCAGATTCCCTTGGCTGAGAATTGGAGATGAACATCACCCCCTTGAGTCAGTCATGATTGGACAGGGGAAAATTTTAATGCATTTCTAGCCTCCTGAGCACCAACAAACCTTTTTCAGATGTTTGCAGAGGCATGAGTCACTCCTCAAATCTGCATGATAAAAAGCAAGTCCATGGAAAGAACTAATCTCTAGGCTTTTAAAGAGGATGACTTTTTAAATCCATCCCTGATTATCACCTCATAAATTGGAATAACTATCTCAATTCACCATTATTAATCCTGCAATTTCTTATACATTTTTACAAGAAAAGTGAATGTTGGCTTAATATATTCAATAAAGACCTGATACACATTAAGACATTTACTATTAAAAAACTTAGAAGCCCTGATCACACCACAGATTAGTTCTGCAGGATTACAAATATTTCTAAAAGGTTCACAAACATTTGCTCACAGTTGAATCTCAGAACTATTCCCCAAAGCCACTTAGATTATGAACAATTTATGGCTGCTATGATTTATACATGTTGCCATTGTGGGTGCAGATAATCACAAAGAAAATATCATCAGGGGAGCCTGGTAGATACCAATAGGGTTCCACTAGGTTTTCAGCTTATCCACATCATAGTAAAAATACCAGCCCTACCCCCACACTGAAAAATAACTGCAGCAGTCGCAGAATACCGTAAATACCGGCGTATAAGATGACTTCCGCGAGCGCTGAAATCGGCGCCAAAGACGGGGGTCGTCTTATACGCCGAGTCGTCTTATACCCCGGAAATACTGGTAGTTTCCAGCGTATAAGACGACGTTCTAGGAATGCGGCCCGGCTATAAAGACGGGGGTCGTCTTATACGCCGTGTCGCCTAATACGGCGGCATATATGGTATATGCGATGCAAGTAGGACTTCTAGGTAAACCAGGGGCTCTCGTTTCACTGGGCAGGTTATGAGGACCTGTGTGTGTTCTGCTCCATATTTCCACTCAATAATGAAGCATCAATGGCAAAATTGTATGGGAAGACTTGTGTCAGATGGAAAATGTTACCTGAATGTCAAGACTAGTTCAAGACAAACATAAGATGTCTGCAATGGAACTGAGTCAATGGAGATGATGTATCCCCATGAATATGACTTTTAAGAATGGTTTGTAATGAATATGACTTTTAAGAATGGTTTGTAAGGCATTTTAGTTATTAATTTCATATGCTCTCTCACCCTTCAAGGGGACTCTGGTCAGCTTATAATGGGAGTAAGGGAGGCATGCTGGTAACACAGCCAGATCTGAAGATGAGCTCATTGGTGGCAATAAATCCATGTACAATCTATCCAAAGAACATAAAGATAAAAGCTCAGTTTTGAGAAAATTTTATTGTAAAACAAAAAAAATAGTACCAGCTTCTTAGGAAATAGCAGGTATTTAAATGCTTAGAATAGAGGTAGATTCGTTTTTGTTTTTTTTTTTTAAAGGCTGCTTTAGACTCAAACACTTCACTGTTATATTGTAGTTACTTGAAGCACCAACTATACCTTACAACTATAAATGATTATCCTGGCGTTCAGAATGTTACAAGTGCCAGAATAAAAGGTGAGTCAAAATGTTTAGCAGGCAGGAACCCATAAAGTAGCTTTGAGCTTCACATTTAAGTATAACATTCCATGACTAGATTTGCTAATATGCCCACAGAATCCTGCATACACTTTTTCTCATTTTTTAAATGAGTGAAAAAAAATAGTTGCTTCTCCAATACGTAGATGTTAAATGCTGTGGTATTTTAAACTTTAAACCATACTTTATGTTAACAAAACTAGTATTAGGACCAAGACCCAAAGAGCTGTGTATTTTTGAATTTCTTTGTCCTTATCTGAATTCAGAAATTGAGAACACAATGCTTACCTTACACACAAGGTAATCTTGAATCAAAGCTTTTTTTTTTGCCTTTACTGTATTCCCTGAAACTTTTCTAGTTAGCATTCCATAAGGTATCAATAACTATTCAGATGTCACTATTCAGATGTCAGCTAGGACAAACCACCCATCAGCCTATGATCAGGGATTTAGAATGGTAGTATTTGGAGCACCATAGCTGCTGGTGAATTTTCCCAACTAATGAGAGATGGCAAACACTACAGGAGTTAAGTATTATAGGATCTCAACTAAAATTAACATAGCTCAAAATTATCTGACAATTTTCCATTCATACAGCGACTGGACCCAAAAGTGCTAGTTATCACCTTTAAAGCCCTTCATGGCTTGGGCTGGATTACCTAAAGGATAGACTTCCCCCAGTTGTTTCTACATGTCCAATTTGGTCAGGCAGGTTGGGCCTATAACAGGTATACCAAGCATTGTCAGCTGGCAGGGACCAGGAGACTTGCCTTCTCTGCTAAAGCCCGTCATCTGGAACATTCTCTCTTCAGAGATGAGGATGACCCTTGTTCATTACGAACTTTCAAACAATCCTAAGAAGTCTGTTTTATCCAGAAGGCTTCAAATAATATTGGTGTTATATTTTTCTATTTAAATAATTAAATAAAAAAGAGAAGGCATAGCTAATGCTGCAAAAGCATCCTGTGAAAACAACCACAAATTTGGAAAATTATACAAGAGTCACTGATCCTGACTTTATTCAATTTATAAGGTACATCCAACATTCATTACAGCTCAGATTCTATTTAAGTCATTAAAAAAAGACCGACTTTAGACTTTTCTATTCTCAAAAAACCTTTGCAGAAAATATAAAAATTAATTTCCTGGCAAACTCAGTTGCATGTCAATTTACATACAAATTACAATTCCAAAACAAAGATTCTAGATTCAACTTCAATTAAAGTATCACACCCATTAACCAAATACCTTTCAATATTAATAATAAGGGTTATGAGAAGTCAGAAATCTTGAAACAGTAGTGAAAAGGCACTCTTCCTTAAACTTTGCAAATGTTTTTAGAGTTTTAAATTCAAAAGCATCACGTTTTAAAATCTCCAAGCAAGCAAAGAAATATAGGATCCTGCTGGATCATATTGAAGTATTATGTAATCCAGCCCAATTTGCTTCATTGGATAACTGAGGAATTTTAAACACAGGATATGAGGCAAAATTCCTGTCCAGTTGACCCTGATGAGGTCATGCAATTGTCATAAAAACTGCCTACTCAATGGGTTTAACTTTAAACATCAATTTGGCAGTCTGCATCATATTTGGTAGTGATGAATACTATGTACTATGAGTATACTTTTCTTCCCTCTTTCAAATTCACTGGTTCATTTCATATTCTATAATTCTTTAACTAGACACATACACAGTATTTGCAAATAATGATAGGTATTAATTTTATTGCAATGTCTTTTCTAATTATTTCATGTCTTCTTCACAGAAGGAAAGTAATTTTTACACATATACCTACCACATCAAGATTCATTTTTAGTATTCACCAGGTAAATCCTCATTCCATACATTAAGTATTTAAACAGCTTATATGGCCACCTATTTTGCATCCGCAATTCTAGGCAGCTAACATGAACAAAAAAATTAAAAAATATGATTTTACTTATTGCCTTTTCTTACATAATCCTATACTTTGTGGAAAAAGGTTTTTGCCATTTAAATTCCAATTTATCCAATGCAGACACGTGCTTATACGAGCCCTTTTGTTTATATCAGTCTAAATAACTGGTGTCACCATCAAATCTCTTAAGCATCAGCCCCAATAAAGATTATCTTCATAATACTTAATTGCAAAAGATGTCCACTTATTTCTATTCCCATGTCCTTGGTCAGAAATCCCAAATCCTAAGGCCACAGGTCCTTGTAGTCCATTACTGTACTAATTTATCCAAAGCCTCTTTTCAAAGATCCCAATGAATACAACAAGCCTTCTTAAATAACTCTGCTTTAAGGCCTGAATAAACTGATAAAATGGATACCAGCTACTGCATAAAGATCACCAAGCTTTCTGACAGCTTAGTTTCTGGGTCAGTCCTGAAATTGGTGAATACTCGGGATAGGAAGAACATACACTAGTTACCCTTTCCAAAAACTGAAAGTACAGTGCTGGAAGGAAAGGTGTAAGATTACTTAAGTTTTAATAGCCGCACTAACTTTTTTTTAACTTGTTTTCATTTAAATGGGTGATGCATACATAATTCATTTTTACAATTTAAAGATTTAACTTTTTTAGTACAGTACTGAAAGCTAGCATTACAAAAACTCTAAATAGATTATGGCAATGATAATGTGCATTTACACTGCAATGTTTTCCCAAACTTACATGCATTAATATGGCATCTTGATATGTTATATTTTAATAATTTTTATTAAGACCATACTAATGCAGAGATTAAAGTGAACACCAAAATGCAAAGGAAAGCTGGTTACAGACAGCTAACCTAAGCCCAATTAATACAAATCTCACATTCATCTGTGGGATTTGTCCCTTGTAACCAGATGATGAAATTCTTATATGCGTGGAGATATTCAACAGGGAGAACCTATTTGTGATTTAATATTCTATGATATGTTCCATTACATTAATTCAACTGTGCCCATTTGCTTTTACAATACACTTAATTAGGACAACAAATGTTTTTAAAACACAATTGGCCATGACGCTTGCATGTATTCATACTACTGTTAACAGAGAAACCAAAAAATTCAAATGAAAGAGTCACTGTTATAATAACTTTAATTTCTCTTGCATTTTACAGAATTCTATGAACAGATTAAAAAGCATCTCCTTTCTCATCACTTGACAGTTGGTAAAATATTCAGTTAGCAAATGTCAACAGCTTGAAGATCTGATCTCGCAAGAATCTCACAGACCAACCCAAAGCAAAGCAGCTTTTACTATCTTGTTTTTAATACATCGGAAATCCACTCAGGTTGTAAGCCTGTCCAGCCATTTGCGCCCAGATCACTTCGCAAAAATTCAGGGTCAACCAGCCAACTAGTTAGCTTTGGCACGGAGCTGCGCTCTCTTGCCTGTGACAGCCTGGAAACCAGTTTTAATGCTGGCAACAGAACAGCGTGAATGGCAAGTCTCACACTGCAAAAAATATAATCTGGTGTCCTTCTGCAAGATTGTGTCTGGTGACCGACATGTATGACAGGTGACATATTCCTCTGTGGGAACAATTAAACAAGTTATATTAGCAATAAGAAATTATAAACGAATAGTGAACACATTTTCATCCACTATGCACTTATCATTTAAATAACCAGGTAGAGTAATTTCTGAATCCAACTGCAAACTAACTAGACCAGGGGTGTCAAACTGCCAGATGCATCACGCCAAAACCACACCTACCCCATTGCCGGCAATTGGAAAAAAGTCACGATACGTCATGACACGTCACGTGATGTCGCGAGTTTGACACCCGTGAACTAGACTATAAAACATAAATTAGAAAACAGAGTATTTATCTCTTTCATTGCAAGGTAACACCCCTTAAAAATATTTTTTTTTTCTGCCCATTTACTGCATGTACCTATTTATCACACAAAAGTAGAATGTCTTGCAAGCAGCTTACAAGATGGGAGAATGACTTTTGGCTTTGGCAGATTCAAAAGTCACAACTGTATTATCAGCCAACTTTTTTCAATCTAACACAAATTGTGAAAGGAAAAATCAATATAGCTCACTGTTAACATGTATCTGAACATATATTCAGGACCTAAAATCTAACCATTCTATTAGCTTTCTTCATTACTAAGTTTACATCACTGTCCATACTATAAAAAATAAGTAGTACCGAACAAAATTCTAAATGATCCGCCAGACTTTCTTTTCAATGTCCCATTATTCAGTCCTCTGTATTGGAGATGTCTGAGATCCTTAATGGTGTACCTTTATAATCTTTTAATAAGCAGCTGACAATAGAACATGGAAATAACCACATAACGTTTATACACTTCAATACAATTCAATTGTTACCTCACTTGTTTCCATGAGGTAACAATACATTTTGTTATCTCATGGAAACAAAAAATACTGTTCCATGAATTAAAACCAGAATGAGTAATTTTTAGTATATAACCAAAAGACCAAGGATTTGCATTTTCCCATACAAACATGACTATCCAAATATTCAGTTATAATTGTTCTATATGCCTTCACCTCATCAAAGATACAGCAGGTGATTCCATAAAGTGACCCTTCTGGTTGAACTGTAGCACTTTTTTCTTTTTGACAACCAGCAAAAATATAATCGTTTCAGAAGATTTTAATGAAATTACAATGTGGCAATTTTAGCACTACTAATAGTTATGTAAGAAGCAAGATTAAACAGTTTACTGGAAGCAAATGTAAATCTGAAATGATAGAATACACTTACTGATATATCTCCTCAAGACATTTTCTATCTGTTTTTGTTGGAATCTTCCTTTGATTACAAGTTGGTTGTTGCCATCTATTGAACCACTAAATAAAGGTATTAAAATTAGAATCACATATTTTCAATGAAACAGAGGATTCAGGGCTTCCAAAATGCTCACCACAGTATATGCAAATCTTTGTTCAAAGGCTCTCCATGTTCTGCCATCTTTTATCAGATGTTCAAGCTAAACTCATTCCTAAGGGTTGATGGGTTGCTAGGGCTACACAAAAATATAATGCCAGTTTAATGTAGTGGTTAAAGGCACAAAACAGAAACTGGAAAACTATGACTTCTAGTCCTGCCCTGGGCATGAAGCCAGTTGGATGACTCTGAGCCAGTCATTCTCTAGGAAGCAAGCAATGGCAAACTACTTATAAAGATATGGCCACAAAAACTGCAAGGACTTGCCCAGGAGTCAAGACTGGCTGAAGAGCATGCATACACAAACACACAAATACCCGGCACATCCTGTAGCTTTTGTGGAAATACCACAGCTATTTTCTTATAAATGGTTATGAGGGGGGGGGGCTATGTTCTAAAACAGCTAAAAGAAAATTTTGTAGACATGTGTTACGTTCTAGGGAAAAATAACACAACAGAAGAAGCAGTATTCTGAGGACAGGATCAATAATAGAAATGGAACCGAATAATAAGAGAATATATTCAACATCTGTGTATCTTTCTTATCCCCACATTGTAGGCTGAAGCAAAAAAAGTGGCCATTGCAAACTGAGAATGGAGATCAGCAGTGTTACTATAGCAGAAGGTTGTTGACTGATAATTAAAAATGTACAAAATTTTTGAAAGTTAGAAGTAGTATTCAAGTTAATCTGGGTTCCTGATCAGAAAGCTTCTATAACAGAGGTGTCAAACTCAATTTCATTGAGGGCCGCATCAGCATTGCGGTTGCCCTCGGGAGGGGTTGGGTGTGGCCAGGGTGGGTGTGGCATAGCATATCAGAAATAGGTATTTCTAATATAAAGGCCTCCTTTAGATTTCCACCCTTGAAAATTTGGTGCAGCCAAATCTGAAGGTTTTCCCAGGTTTTTGTATGTAGATAAGCATGTGGAAAAGAAACTTCTTGTCAAGAATTCATCAAAGCAGTAGCACTAAATCTTTAGGAAGGCATAGTTGCTTTGACAGGTGGCACTTGGCTGAAACAAAAGTTCCACCTGAATTTACATAGCTTTATTAAAAATACAAAATCTACAAACTATACATTAAATTCTATAACATTATATAATCATTGAAGCACTAGTGACTTAAACCAATTTTACTTACATCAATACTGTTATTTTTGAAGCAGTCAACTTGCTAGAAATGTCATAATCTTTGAACAGAGGCTATTATCAAAAGTTCAGAAATATTCATGAAGAATAAATATCACAGAAAAGACTAAGTTTGAAGTACTTACCTTGTACCCAATTCTGCCAGCAAAAAAGCCAGGAGATGTTTAGGTTGACGATGTAATCTAAAAGTAAGGAAGTTTATCTAGTTAATAAAATAACAAGTACTTAGCATACTTACATCTCTTTTATTATCATACTGCAGCATTTGGCATATGCAATGCCAATACAAATAGTTGAAATTCCATTTTCTTAACAGAGCTAATATTATAGGAGATTTGAAGCAGATAAAATAGGAGTCAGTGAAAAGGAATTAACTTATGCCACCACATAAGATAATAACTTCAAGGGGAACATATTAAATTTGTTCATAAACTGAGACAGCAAAATTACACACTTATCTAATATCAGATATGGCAATGTAACATAAGTTACAATAGCACATTTTGTTTATTTAAAGAAAATTGTTTGCGATGAAGATTCACATGAACAAGATCAAGACTTTCAGTAAATGATTTACACAACAATGAGCCAGAACTCCTTCACCACTCTCCTCCCCTTTCCTCTTCCTCCAACCTTCCTACTTCCTTCTCCCCTCCTTTACTCTTTTCTCTCTCCTCTCCTTTCTTCCCTCTCATCCCTCTTCAGATACAATTCAGGGGTAATGTCCGAGCATTAGAGGAAGAAGAGTGAAGTAGGGAAGAGAAGAAAGGGAGAAAGAAGGTAAAGAAGAAGGAGTGTGGATACGGTGAAAGGGGAAATGGGCGAGCAACACCAAAGTTATGTGTATGTATTTATTTCATTTTGTTAAAAGTATCTGTATGTGAGTGTGGAGGGAATGTATGTTAATATCTGATAAGTATGTATATGTATGGGGGAGAGTTTGGAAAAATAAAATAAATAAAAAATTATTAAAAAAAAAACAATGAGTCAGAACTGAATTGTCTGTGGCTTTAAATGTTTGAAATGTCATCCCAAGAAACTAAGTACAGTTTACAAATTACAATGAATAGATTTCTATCTCAGAATAAGCCAAAACTAAACACCTTATACCAATACCATTACAGCTATTCTATAAAAACATCCAGCTATTCTAAATAGTGGTCATGGTCACTATTGTCAGAAATTGTGATAGCCATTAAGCACATGATCACCTCACTTAGAACCCTTCATCCCTGCTCTGTCTGATGCAATTGTTAAATGAACGCACAGCTCATTAAACTGAGGATAGGGGAAGCCCTGGAATGTGTAGTGCAGTTCATGCTCCAGGTCTTTCAAGGTTTCTCCTCATCTCAAGGCAACCCATGTTCTGCTTTCCGTCCCTTGAGGTCCCAACAGGCCTTGGGCCTACTTACCACCCTACCAGGCCCCTTTTCCTCAGCCCACGTCACCTGTCGGGCACAGTTCAGATTAGGGAAGCAAAGCAAGTCTGTTGCTGGGGCACATAATCGTGGGAGCAGCCATTTTTCTGAGTAGCTACAATTCAATGTGACCACTTAGAAAATGGCAGCTGCTTCCGGATCATGACACGCAGGCAGCAACGAAGCAACTTGCTATGCTTCCCTAACCCAAGCTCCCCAGCATGGATAAACAAAACATGGCAAAAATACTGCCCAGCTCATGTTAGGGGAGCATAGCAAGCCACTTCATTACTGGGTCACATGGGGTGCAATCCTGAAAGCCATTTTCTGAGAAACCACAATTCAATGTGGAAAATGGGAGCCTCTTTCAGGATCATGCCATGTGGCCCAGCAATGGAGTGGTCTGTCCTCCTTCTTTAATCAAGCTTCAGAGGTCTTTGAAAAGTAAGTGAGGAGGAAGGTGTGCAGCCAAATGGTGTGCTAGGCTTGTGGGGACCAGTGGGGAAATGGGGGACACTGCAGCCTCCCTGCACTGAATCGTAAGAGTGATTGCAGGGATGCTGCAGCAGGCACAACTTTGGGATGAAATTATAAGGCAAATCCATCGTAAGTCAAGGACTACCTATATAAAAATATTTTGCTCAACATTACAATCTGTACATATACATAAATTTATTTCAAAATGATAATCCCATGCCCTTATATATTTTGCTGAATTCACTACGCAAACATTTAACTAAATGTTTGTATGCAAGCTAGCCTCAATTCCAATCTCATTATATCTTGACACTCTCAAGCTTTAGGTGTTCAGACTAGAGGTCTGAAGGAAAACTGTAAGCATGTCGGTAATAAACATCTAGGGAATCAATATTTTCTGGTGACTATTGCTTTATATTAGTTTAGTATTATTCCGTTTAATTAATCATTACTCTGGTCGTTCTAAAATACTTCCAAATATTAGCCCAACCTCACTAGGAATTTCCCTAGCATAAATGAATAGAAATTTCACAAAAGCTGATAAACCATATTCACTTCACTAGATTGGTTAAAAAGAATTCCCAGTTGATCATCTAATGAATCAGGTACACTTGCAACAGTCGTTTCAGAATATGATACTATCTGCCCTTGAGATGAATTAACTGTTGTCTATGTAAACTCAGTTTATAACTGAACAATACTGATAATACAATTCCATGACCCCAACTTTTACTAATTCCTGTCCCAAACCTCAATGTAACCAAACTTACAGTTTACAGATATCTGTGAAGTTAACAAATGATGTTTTCTTTGTTCCTACTCTTACAACCTGGGGAGGTTTCATAACAAATTTTCTTTTTTCACCAGCTACCATATCAGGATTTTTTTCCCTCATGATGTTAAATACACGATTCAGCAACTGCAGGGATAAAGAAAATATCAAAAATCAATTAATACTGATGATTAATTAACACAAATTAATACTAGTACATAGTCATGTTTTATTGAATTTATTTACCTGGGAAAAAAGCATGACATTTTATCTGAATTAGAAGTCAAAATAGTAGGATTTAAAAAAAAGTTCACCTTCTCTACAAACTGCTTTATTTATTTAAAATATGTGTGTTCTATTCATTATTCCATAATCCTGAGACAGAATAAAAAATTCAATCTAATAACAAAGCTCTATTTCTCTTCATTTTGGTATAAATCCAAATTCAGTTTATATTATGCTCCCCAGAGATTATAATAAAAGACCAATAGAAGAATTAGTTAAAAGGTGTGAAAAATATTTACCTCATCATATGTGTAATCCCTTTCCGAGCCTGCCCATGCAGGTCCTAACAGAGAGCTAAAAGAGATTCCATCATCTTTTTTGCTGTCATCATCCTCTAATGCTGCAGAATTATAAATATCATGTCAGACCCCATCAATTTCCATTCCACAATGTGCACAGAATATTTTTATGTGACATGTACACATATATTTTTCAACCAGAACCTTCTACATTAGACCCTTTGTTAAATGAGGAGATACTAGGGGAAAAAAGGGGAAGTTAATCCAAATAGCATTAAGAATAAGATGAGGCATGGCATTTGGAAAGACAAATTTATCTTTTCTCTCTTTCCGCAGAAGTGAAATTTCAGTAATGCTAGAACAGGGGTGTCAAACTGCCAGCCCATGGGCTGGATGTGTCATGCTGAAACTGTGCCCACCCCATTGCCAGCAATGGAGAAAAAGTCACGATACGTCGCAACACGTCACGTGACATTGCGAGTTTGACACCCATGTGCTAGAAGTTTCCAAAAATGTTCAAATAGAAAATATCCCTATCCTTTATCAAATGAAATTTAATACGTGTTTGAATTTAAGAATGTTACTTTTGTTTCTTATTTAGTTGGTGGTGCCCAGTATGTCTGAATGAGTACAGAAGTATGAGATATGAGCTTTTCAAAGACAATATAAGTTGATTACAGCTATGAAACTGATGGTTAATGACATATATTGTGTGCTGATTTACAATGCTATTTAAGATGTTTTCGAAAATGGAAAACCATAAATCACAGATTTATTGGAATACCCATACTGAATTATGTTGTTCTAAAACTGTCCCCACACCTTTCAAATATTTTCAAATATTATCTTGGATTTTGAAAAGGCAAATGGGAGAGACATGAATATCAGAACCAAAGAGAACAAGGAGTGAAAATGGCTGCATAGCTAGAAATTAGAGAGCTTAGCGTCTCATTGAAGCACTCAAGTTACTGGATTCACAACTTCTTCTTTGCCTCTGAAATTAAAATAGCTGTGGCTAATGGCAATGTAGAAGAAACTGTTGCACCCTGTACAATAAAATCAGTGTAGATGGTCGATGTTATATTGGAGTTACATTACAAAACTTCCTCTACACCACTGCAGCATTTGACTGAATGCTAATAGCTACAATAGCTTGTCTTCTGCCCTGATTATCAGATTAAAATATAGCTACACTTTGTGTACCAACCTTCAGTGTTACCAACTTTGACCAACAGCAACAGACACCACTAAAAAAGTTACCTTCATCTTTATCTAATACTTCATCCTCATCTGTAAACTTTGCCGTCTTTCTTTTCTTCTTCTTTCCTAACATGATATCAAGGTCATCTTCTGGTTCTACTGTTTCTTGCACATCACTTTCAATTTTTAGGTCCTTGAGAACAATTGGGAGGCCAAGGAAGGAGAGCAAAATAAACAACATTTAATGATACAAGCAGCAAGCATAATGTAATAATTCAAAATATGCATCTCTCTGTTGATCATGACAATAATCAACTAATTCAAACAGAGGTCACCTACAAAGCAAAAGTCTAGGGGATGTATTAAAATGTCTTTGATATAATTTGACTTTTTTAGATAATATACAGTAACAAGTTTCTTCCTCTTTTAAGGTGAGAGCACAGTATAGAGAGTTATTTTGGGGATGGGGGGGAATCTAAATCTTAAGTTAGTAAGATGATGAAACAAACGTGCCCTTTAACCCCATGTCAATTTACCTTCAGTCCCTCTTCAGCTTCATCAATATCAAATATCTTTTTTGCTTTTTTCTTCTTTTTCTTCTGATTAAAGAAGGTTAAGTCATCTAAATCATTTGATGCATCTGAAATTGAAAAGCAGTACATTACTAACATTCAGATTACTTTATGATTTGAGTATGGAAGAAACATGCCTGGATATATTTATCAAGATATTTAAGCAAACTTGTTACAATGAAATCAGACAATTTCAATAATAGAATGAGAAAAATGAAAAACTAATTTAGACTATTTCAATCATGTATAAAACATTGATTTAGACTTTTACACATTATATCCAGTAGCTCTTGATAACTCAGGATGTAATAACTGAGAATCAAGTTATAAGAATTAGTTCCCAGTATAAACATGACAGTCTATATATTTTCAGGATGCTTACCACAAAATCTTTGCATTTACAATATTTACTTCAATGCCTTATTGGCTTTAACAGTAATAAGTCAGAGAGAAAAACGTAAATATTGCAAGGCCAGACAAGACAATAACATAAAAACAATTATTTTTATTTATTTATTAAATGTATATGCCATCCATCTTGCTAGCTAAAGCTACTTCAATTTATTTTCTCATGAAATACAAAAATGTAAATAAGAGTCCAATTCTAAAATATTAACAGTTGGCTGATTCATAATAATGAACCAAAGAACTTAGCTGGCAATCTGTTTAATATTTATATATATGAAACAAAGCAAACCATCAAATTACAGCTGTATGAGATAGGTGTGCTTCAGCCTGTATATTTCAAAATGTTTGGAGACATACAATGCAATACTGTAAGTCAGTTGTTTTTTAAATGACCATCCATCCTCTCCCTGAAAGTCAAACCAACAATACAAAATTCTCTAATTTCTATCTTTCATGAGTAATGGCAAGAGAGCAACGTGTTCGTGTTTACAGCTAACCAGTGAGCAAAGTCTGAATGCATTTTCCCAACATTTTATTAAGCATTCTGCTCCTTCTCTGGAAAGCTTTAAAAGAGCACAAATTAAATGTCACACCTTTATAAGCATCTTTTCTTGAGAAAAATAAAAAAGAAACAGAAAACTAGATTTCTAGTTTACCTTTCTTTCTGCTGTCTTCTTCATCAGCTTCTATATCTTTGTCTTCTGCTGGTTCTGGCTCCACTTCTTTTGTTTCTAATAGTTGTGTCTCTTCTGTTTGTGCATCACCACCTTCTTCATCAAGCATAAAAGGCTTCTTTTTCTTCTTCTTCTTTTTGCTCATAGTAGGGTCGAAAATCATCTGTAAAAAACTGTATTTTCTTAACACAAATTTGCAACATAAAAATACCCCTCTGATTTATAAGTACATATAAATATAAACATTTATTATCAAACACAACGTAATAGAAAGTTTATCAAATAAAATCTCTACAAAGCTGTACAAAGTACATTAGGAAATAACTAAAAACTTAATATGGGTAAAACAGAAAAAAAAATAATTTAAACTGTGAAATATTCTACACAACCCAACCACCAAAATTGGTTTCCCAGCAATTTAAAGATCTACTAGTTTCAACAATTCTACCAAAACATATGTAGCTTTTTTTAGGCACCCACTACTAAGTTCCAGAAGGAATAGCAACATCTGGTATTTAGGTATTAGGTGGTAATTTGTGCTTCTCACACTAAATCATTAATCTGAAAATAAACGCACCTTCAAGTCAATTATCAAACTGTTTATATAACCACAAAACTACTGTAGTTGTGAATTCTGTAGAATTCACCAAACTTATTCTGGGCAGTATTCCAAAAATTTAGGTCAAATGTTGATGGCAACCCAAGTCTTGTGCATTCTAGCTGAAAACTGCAATCTGCATATTTATTTTACAGTAATTACACTGAATGAAGTGGGATTTTCTGCTAGAAAAATATATTTCTGACAAACCAATCTAGATCTATCCATTTTTCAGACACCCATACAGAAAACAAAGTTTTGTTTATGAATATCATAGTCTATTAAAAGTGAAATTATAGTGCTCTACATCTGAGAGTAGTAGTAGTATAATGGAATCATACTATACTAACTGGATATACAGGACTTTTAAAAGTAATCATTCCTTAAAAGGCATCGCCAAACATACAAACATATTAATTTATATTTAAAGACAAGAAACCCTATCTTTGAATGCATTTAATATTAGAAACTAGTTATATTCTTTTTTGTAGAGAACAGAAACCAAAGACTGTATCTGAAATATCATCAGTTAAATAGTTCATTAAATTCTTTCCATTTTAATTGTCCACTTAATGCAGAAATAGGAACTTATCCAAAATCAAGGGGCATACCGTTTTTTCCCCCCAAAATAAGACCTGGTCTTTTTTTTTTTTTTTTTTTGCCTCCAAAAAATATACCAGATCTTATTTTTAGGGAATGTCTTTTCCACTCACCTCGCAGCAGCAGCAGCAGCAACAGCCCCACCCAGCCAGCCCACTTCTTCTGCACATGAAGGAGCAGCTTCATTCTGTAGCTGAGAATGGAGCTCCGGCCTACATTTCAGAGTCAGAAAGGCCTCTGCAGCCAAGAACCAAGCTACAGATTGAATCCATAGCTCAATTCTCAACTGCAAAGGCCTTCCGGAAAGGCCTCCGACTGCGAAATGCAAGCTGGATGGAGCTCCATTCTCAGCCACAGAATGAAGCTGTTCCTTCCTCTGCAGAAGTGGGCCAGCAAGGCAAGTGTCACTCCATGAGAGGCCTGGCTGCAATGGTAAGCTCCACCTCTCCATCCCAGCTTGATTTTTAGACATGCGCCTTGCCCCAAAACTAGGGCTTATTTTCGGGGTAGGTCTTACTTTCAGGGAAACATGGTAAATGTGATATTGAGAGAATTTGGCCGGATCTCTCAAAATGTCAGTCATGTTGATGCAGTTATCACAAAATTACTTTTTTCTCAGAAAGGAAACTGGAGGCTAGCACTCTCTTGTATTCCAGTCTTTTGATTTTTAAAATTAAAACAATCTGTTAAAAGGTAAGTAGATAATTAATCTGGTTAACATCAAATAGCCATAGGCATCAGAATGAGTGTCCCTGATCTAATGTCTCTTTTATATCTATGTTAAAGTATTACTACTGAAATATCTGCAGTTCTGAAGAGATATGTCTATATTTTTTCATCATACATAGATTAAACCTATCCTAATTATTTCAACAATGGTCATGATAGAACAGATATCCAAAGAGCCAGTCAATAAATTGAGCTGCTAGAAATGTAGAACAGAGGAATTCTTCACATATCCCAATGTTGTTTCAACTGCTAGACTTTTTAAAGCAATTAAGGGGGCATGAAGGCTACAGGCGGGAGGAGAAAACACAAAATACCCATACATTAATTATCTTTGGCTGGTACAACACAATTACATTTTTGTGTAATGTAAAGTACTTTGCTATACCAAGATAAAATTACATTTCTTTTGGCTGGTGAGAAATTATTAAGATGTATGAGGCCAGTCTTTACTACAATTCTAAAGTATTATAGCTAGGAAACAAATGTATACATTTTGGACTTATGATTCATATGCCATCAAGCATTTGTAAACAAAAAAAGAAAAAAAAACATGAGAAGAGTCTATTCCTGAATTCATATTTCAAATAAGATTAAGTTCATCATTATATGGAACACAGATCTATACTGACATGCTGGCATAAACCACATTATTAAAAGACTGAAAAAATTAAACTAATAAATTTATAGCCATCTTAAACTGCACCAGTAAAACTGATATTTTCCTATTATTAAATCATTTTTATGGAAAACAGAAAAGTTCTAAATATCTGGAAATCTAGCTTGTTTTTCACCCGTCTACAGGTAATACTTCTTCATAATTATTCCTAAAAAAACATATTTTAATCTGTTTTCCAAGTATTGCACTAAAATCTTTTTGAGTCAAAAATTACAGTGTTTCTACTAAAAAGAGGGACCTTAAAAATGAATCATTCCATCAACCAAACTGAATCAGAAACCAAGCATGCATCATTTCAATAAATCAGTGTATTACAACTGGGAGCTGACAATATGAACTGACAGTTCAATCATAGCTTATTCTAGGGGTCTGGAAGCAATTTAGAGGGTGGTCATTTTTATCTAATCAAACTTGCTTAGGCAAACCAACTGCCAAATTTCATTTTTGCTTTATGGGCCTCACCTTCAGTGAAAAGTAGCAGTAGCAACGTTTGTGACATGCTAGATTAAATTTTAATTATCAAAAGTAGTATATTTATTTTTTGCCAAATCGAAATCTGAAATTATTAGTTGAATTCACAGCAAAGCATATGTTAATTTATCATTTTATGAAGTAGCAGTACCATAAAGTTTGACATCAGCTTTATAAATAATGTAGATGTCTATTCAAATGGATACTATATTCTAACCTATTATAAACTCATATTCTGTATTGCCTAGAACTTCTCAAGGTCTAAAAGATAAAACAATTTTCCCTCCCCAAAACTGATCTCCCCAGTTTTGCTTAAAAGGAATATTTTAAAGGATGCCAAAGGCTTCCAAATATAAAATTCCTTTTAATTTTAAAATGAATCACTTTCACTGTAAATATGAAAGGCAAGCAAAAACTGTCCCTGGTTTTTGCTCAGGTATCAATTGACCTTTTGGAATCATCAAGAACTCTAGCGGAATAATAGGATTATTCTGCCCATGCAAAGTTCTAGGGAGCTCAAAATTATTTCATTATTAATTTAAATTTATTGGCCACCCAAGCCTAGTGGATTCACAAGTTCTTCTTGATATATTATGTGAGAGGTTTCTGGTGTTCATTCTAGAGATTTGAAAAAATATTGTAACAATTAACCCTGGAATAAAACGAAAGCGACCCCCAGAGTGCTAGCAAGCACAGGAATAAGTCTTCTGTTGAATCTGAAAGCAGCGCTTCAGTTATTACAACACTGAGATGTTTTTAATAGACTCCAAATCGGGCCACTGGAGCAGCAAACTAATAGGGATCCTTTAAGATTTGACACCTAAAACCGAAGATTTCCGAGCCACTCTATACGCAAAAATAAACGTAGGCCTGCCATTCAGCAGGCACTATAGTAGTTAAGACGCTCCTCCATTCAAAGCACATTAGAGGCATCGTTTGTTGCTTTTGCCTTTTTAAAACAGCGGCTTTTTTAAAAATATGAAACTTTCCTGCTTTCTCAAACCGCGGGGGGTGGTGGGGGGGGGCGTTTGGAATTAACTCAGTTTGACGTAAGGCGGGAAGGGTGATCAAGGATGGCTTCCTTACTTCACAAGGTAGCAAAAAAAAAAAAAAAAGCGACCAAGGACAAAGGAGAAGTTTCTCAAAGCCGCTCAGGGAAAAATAAGCCTATCTCCAATATGTATCGCAGACTGGGAGAAGGGAGCTGCTTTTGCTCAGGGAAGCTAATTCAACCGGGCTCTGATCAGGGTGCGGACAGGCCTCAGGCCCGGCTCCTCACATGGCGGCGGCCACAGCCCCAACCTCACGCCACCCCAGGCCTGGGCACATCTCTGTCCTCACCTCGTCTCCCGACATGGCTATGGCTCTCCCTGACCGTCAAAGTAGAAATTTGGAAGCGCCCGTCTCAAGGGGAGAAAAGCCCAACACCACCCAGGAAATCAGTCGCCCCGACTCGTTTGCTCAGCCCTCAGGCTCGCCTCGCCGCCGCGCTCAGCTCTTGCATCAGCAGCAGGAGGAGGAGACAGAAAGCAGCACGTTTGTCCCGGATGGGAGCATGCGCCGCAGCCCTTCCACAAGGTTCTCGGGAACTGTAGTCTCATGTCTGCGCAAGCGCAACTGCAACGGAGATAAATGAAATCACGACAGCAACATGTGCAATTTTGCGGATGGGGAATTTGAGCTGGTGAGATCACGGAGGGGGGGGGCGGGCTTGCTTGAGCACGTGCTCCTCACAAAAGTGGAGTTCCTGATCCTACAGTTACGCTATTTACGCAAGGGTTGCGTAGTTCCCTCTTTCAGAGAAGACAGAAGGTGACGCTGCAAACTTTGTGGAGAGGCGAGACGCGCTATTGTTACGTCCCTTTTGAAAAAAATTTGCGCGACTTCTAGCTGTGCTTTTAATAAATCTACAGCTTTCTTCCTATTATTAAATTTAATATTGAGTTCATACATGGTATTTGTGGGAGGGTTTTAAAAGTTTGAAATCCAACAGGAACGGTTGGTTACACTCCCTCCTAAAATAGTAAAATTCTCCTCTGGTGATTATAGTTATATCTACATTGGTTTCTTTTTAGTATAATTTTATTAAGATTTTAATAAACATGAAAACTAAATTGCAATATTTATAATAAAAGAAGAAATAACTTCCTTTTTTCCATATTTTTTTGTAATCTTTAAAACCATGGGTTATAATGTCACTTTTTCTATTTCATGCAAAGTCTGTAGGAGGTTTCTTGTCAGCAATAAACTTTAATAATGTCTTTTTTCTATCAAAGATGTCAATTTGGCCACTTCGACAAGTTCCATTACCTTCACTAATATTGAATATTTCCATCTTTGTGCATATCTTGATGCAGTTGTATATAGAAAAACAGTTCCATGACTTGTTCCAACTGTTTATTGATCAATCCAACGGAAAACCTGATTTCAATTGTATATTAGTCTTTAAAATCATCTGAATTAGTATATGTATTTGAGTCCATTTTTTAAGCTTTTTTGTACATCCACCAAGCATGATAAAATGTCCCCTCTTCACATTTCCCAATACCCAGAGCTTTGCTTTAAGGCCCACCATGATGGCCTTCCTACTTGTCACAGTCTACCTTTGGGGCACGCTTCACCGGCAAAATGGGCAGCAAATACATTTAATAAATAAACAACTAGTTATAGTAAAGTGGTACCTGGAAAAATACTGATGGTCCGACAAAGGATGTGTATAAAAAGCAGATGGCCCAACAAAAATGTGGGTAAAAGAGAGGTTTGTTTTGCTTACAAGACAACTTTTAAATTTAGGATGGCCAGACATCCTGTTCCCAGCTCTGCACATGATATATTACTAACTGCCTGTCACATGGTATATCTAAATTGCTTAACACTTGATATATTGCTGATTGCTAAAAACATTCCAATGTAAACGAGGAGCTATCGATTATAGATCTGTCTAGTAGTTTTTCTATGTTAGAATAAGGACCTATAGAATGTAATGACCTGAAAATAACCCCCGCCAGAAAGGGTTATAAAAATGGTCATCAAGGTACAATCTGAGTTCAGACTGTTTAAGCCAGGATGGCTCTCTGAACCTGCGTGCAATAAACTTCCCTTTCCTGAAAGAGCTAATTCAAGTCTTTGATTTCTACTACATTTTCTGGTGCATTGGCCGGGAAAAGCTTGAGTGAGGCGATATTTCGCTGAGGACGGCTGGACCCTTCGGACCTGCTGGTAAGCCATCTCTGAACAATTCTCCAGGCGCCATGGGGGTGTGTTTCCTCCAGGAGACAGCTGTGGCTTCGCAGCAGAGCCGACAGTACTGAAGGCCAGTCCAAGAACCCTTTGGGAAAGGAAAGGAAGTCTGAACCAACTCCTGGCCAGGATGGGTGTAACTACAAGGCAGGCGAGTATGTGTTTAAAGTATGGTACCTATCTCATTTTGAAGATAGAAGAGGGGGCCTGATCACTCCCCTGGACTCGGACGGCGATCCTAATGAAGTCCGTGTTAGGTTGTGTGGGTGGTTAAGCCAGTGCATTCCCTACTAGTGACCGCCGGCGCTGTAGGTCATTGGCAGTGTGTTAGGATGGGGGGGGCGTAGTATGGATGTGGGGTGGCCCCCAGAGGGAACTTTTAAGAAAACTATCCTAACCAATTTCAGTATATAGATCAATGGGGGGATGCTGTTGCAGGACAGGCAGAGGATTTGTTGCAATGTCAGGCTGAAATGGTTCGTTTGTGTGTGGCTAGATCTAAGGGAAAAAAGCTTCAACTACAAACTAAAAGAGTGAAAGATATGAAGATTTCAGAAACTAAGGTGTCAGATGCTAAGAAGGAGATAAGGATGGAGGTAGAGGAGTTGATTCTCAGACCTCCTCCCTACGTTCCACCTTTCTCCCCCTCCCCCCCCAGTGCCGGCTCTGCCGGAGGAAGGGCTGATTGCCCCTGCTGTGTCCGAAGAAAGGCAGCCAGCTGTGAGACGAAAACAGAAAGGGGGAGGCTGTCAGCCCCCAAGGAGGAAGGGGATTTGGAAGGTCTCTCTGTAAATGTGAGGGGAGAAGCAAGTAAAGAGGAGCAATTGTTGAATATTTTGTTGACTCCCAAGGAAAGGGAGAAGGGGAAGGCTGCTGTTAGGCAGTGTTTGAAGGATAGGTTGCCGGCTGTATGAGATACACAGCCAGAGATGGAAGCCAGGGCACCAGAAAAGGACCCTGAATGGAATACACAAAACCCAGCACACATGACTTTGTTAAAGGAATATCAGAATTTAGTAGTAGAGGCTCTTTGCAAGGCTGGAAAGCCTTCAGTGAATGTGTTAAAGCCGTCTTTTGTGATGCAGGAGGCAGATGAAAGTCCGGAAAGTTTTTTTTTTGCAAAGGCTGATTGAGGCTTATGAGCTTTATACACAGGTTGATCCAAGGAGTGCAGACAAGGTGCGAATGTTGAATGAGAGGTTCATAGCACAGAGTTATGAAGATATAAGAAAGAAGTTGTAGAGGTTAGAAAGAGCATTAGGAAAGAACACTACAGAATTGTTGGAGGTGGCTAGGAAAGTGTTTGTTAATAGGGATAAGGTGGAAAAACAGGAAAGAGATGCTAGAATGCATAAGAAAATTGAGTTGTTGGCGGTGGCATTACAAGGAGGGATCATGCTGGGACCCAACCAGTGTGCTAATTGCAAGGAGGGAGGTCATTAACAAAAAGAATGTCCAAGAAGGCAGATGTGAGGTAGAGGTTGGAGAGGAAGAGAAGGCAGAGGATGTGGAGGTGTTGGCAGTGGGCCCCCCATGCACTCCCCCTTCATGGGTAGAGGGCAGAGAGGGGCTCCAGGGATGGTAAGAGATGGTCTGAGGAATGTAGGAGATGGTTTGAGGAATGTGACAGATGAAAATAGAAATAGGGAGATTGAAGGAATTGGATTGGCAGGAACTAACTGGTCGGATTGACGGGGACCTGGCTTGGAGAAAGCCCCCCCTGAGCCATTGGTTACTTTAAATATAGGGGGCAAACAGACAACGTTTTTGGTGGATACTGGAGCAGGAAGATCAGTTGTGGATTTGAAAGCAGAGTCTTTGTGTGTGAAGTAAATATGACTGTTACTAACCTCAAGAGAAAAGAAAAATATATATATATATAACCTCACTCTGTTTGTCTGGCCAATAAACAAGGTGAAGAAAGATGTGTTTGTTTATTTATTTATTTTTTTCTCTCCCTCTTAAGAACAGCCCAAAGTTACCTGCTCAGGCAGGAAATCCTATACCATTTTCTTGCCCATTCTGCTCTCTCCCTTTTGCAAATGTTAGTGTGTTAATGCCCTTTTCAAACTCTATCTGCAGACACAACCCCTAACCCCCCTGTTTTTTTTTCTGGCTGTGTTGCTTTGAGAGGGAGAGAGATAGAGAGAGAAAGGAGAAAGGGGGGGGGTTGATCTTTTTAACTTTTTCTCTGCTTAGAATTCAGGTTTGAGAAAGGTTGGGTGGCTGTGAAAATTTAATGCCCACTTTTGCAATTTTTTTTATTCAAAAGAGGAGTCAGTAATTGTTGGACAACTTTTTTGGGAAATTTTTGAGTTTAAATTGTTTAATATCAACCAAAAGAGTTTGCTTAGATTTGTAAATGTTCTCCCTATTTAATGGAAATTTAATGGAAATCTGTTTCCATCTGAATGGAATTTGATTAAATTGGGATTTGACTAACTTTATATTAAAAGCAATACTAGAGTTTAGAAAAAAAAAACTTTCAGTAACTCAGAATATCTTATTAAACTTGTTTATTTTTTTTGTGTGAAGTTAGAACGAAGTTGAGAAAAATTTTGGGATTATAAATAGCTATGCTGTTTTGAGTAAAGATTTGTATGCAAAACTGTTAGAAAAAAAGCTTGTGTTAATAAATGCAAACAGGGTTTGGTGAGCTCTCCTTTGTTGGTTCTTTGCTAGGTAATTTATTTATAAACAAGGACAAAGGTTGGAGGAGGTTTTGGCCCAGAAGTGTGTGCGTGGGGGGGGGGAAAGGCAGCCAGTGGCATTTTTATCTAAAATTGACATTTGGGGACATCTTGGTGGTTAGCATTTCTTATCAAGTGTGGACAATTTTAATCAGGAAGCCTAAAGGAGGTATACACTTGTTCGTAGCAAAGTGGTTTTCAGTTGTGGATTTGAAAGATGCTTTTTTCACGATTCCTATTCACAAGGCTAGCCAGCCGTTGTTTGCTTTTGAGTGGGAAAATCCAAATACAGGGCAAAAAGCACAGTGTACCTGGACCAGGCTGCCACAGGGCTTTAAAAATTCACCTACCCTGTTTGGAACAGCCTTAGCAGAAGATTTACAGCATTTTGTGCATTAGTCAGACGGAAAGTGAAGTATTTGGGGTATGAGATTGAGGAGGGGCATAGGGCTTTAGGCTGGGAGAGGAAACAAGCTATGCTAGCTATTGCTGAACCCCTTAATAGGCGGCAACTGAGGGGCTTTTTGAGTTTGGCAGGGTTTTGCAGGATATGGATACCAAATTTTGCTCTATTATCAACACCTCTTTATTC